ACACTTGTTGTTTAGTTACCAATTTCTTCATCCTTAAGTATCAAGCACGACCCCAATCCTTAGGACTCTTTATATAGCCCTAAATAAGACATTTAACCACCCAAGGTTATCCTCAAGTGACCACAAGTAAAAAAAAAAAAGGCAAAGGTAACAAAGGGAGATAGAAAACTAGAAGCTAGGATTGATAGTTTGAGCGGGTGAGTTTAACTCACGGTTTGGAAGATTTTCTTTAATTACTTTGGTCTTTGATAACCTCTTAAACCTCTAGACTTGCTTGAGCTCATGTTACGATGTTTTAATGATAACAAAAGAACAAAAGAAGAATGATTAATTGCAATAATTTTGGTGAAACATCCAAGGGCGAAATTAGATAGTTACTGGATTTTACTTGTTTCACCTTTGGTGTTACATAATATTTTGAATGGAACACATATTTATCATTTTTAATGTTTGTATATAAGAGTTGTAAGTATATAAATGATTCTTAATGACCTAGAATCTGATTGGGTGGCATGCTAATATAATGGAAATTGAAAACAATCATACGGAAATTGCTTGATTTTGTGTTTTGTAAAATGGACTGCCTTTGAAGCTTTAAATCCTTCACTTGTGGCAACTTTAGGGCATGATTACCTTTACATTCATGTCATAGAAGTGTGGTAAAAGGTTGGGAATTAATGGATATGGTTAAGGGGTGAAAAGAGTTTGAAAAAAATAAGTAGATGGCGATGTAAACCGAAAAAATGGATTTTGTCCATTTGAATATTTGAATTAGCATCAATCGTAAATTTTAAGGAGCCCTAGGTTGTTGACAACAATTAGATGACGTTGACACACATAATTGAACTCGAGAAATAGTGATTTTTATAGGACTATTGTACGAATACGATCGATAACTTGAAATGATAGCACCATCTAAATTATTTCGACATGAATGGATGTAGTGCGAGATTATGTATACATTAAGGTTATCAAATCTAGGATGGTGTTTAATACTAGATGGTCGTATAGGTCGCTTTTCGACTTTAGGTGAAAAAGGAAATTGATCTATTCTCTGTAGAAGCATACGCATGAGGGCGAAATGTAAGTAAAAATCCATTTGCAACTACAATGCAAAGAACATAGTATTTGTCATATAGTAATGTTTGAATACCTACATCACTTTGGTAAGGATTTCATGTTTATCGTATAATGGTTGTGATTATTGTAAACATTGGTCTTAATTAAACATATTCACTAGCATTTTCATTGCATGCATGACATATATCTATGGTTGAAAATCTAGCATGCACAACATGATTGCAAAGTTGATTTTTTCTCATAAAATGTTTTATTGATCACTACTAGAGCACCGAGTCATGTGAGACATGCTTATGTGATATACTTGGATGATACTTCCTGAGTGATTGCAAAGGTAAGTACGAGATGGGCCTTTGGTGATCAATGGAGGGTGGCCCATTCGACTGTACCCTTGTGATATGATTGTTATCGATGCTGCCGAGTGGGATACTTCTTGGGTAACCATAGGGGTAGTTTGGGGATGGATCTCTAGTAGTCAAGAGAGGATGGTCCACTTGTCGGTGTCATTATTGACGATTCGATTATTGGTTATTGATATTGATATTGATATTGATGTTGCGCAGAGCTTTATCCGGCACATAATAAGTGGGTTAGGTGTCCAATGGAAGATTTTAAATAAAATTATTTCAAGTTGACTTTGACAAATATTTGAACACGATGCATCATTAGTATAATGTTTGAAGCAAATGGCATGATGTTATATATTATTATTAATCATACTCATGACATTCATGATTTTTGCTCACTAAGCATTAACTTATGTAGTTTGTGCATTGTAGGTGAGAACAAAAATGCATAGAAGGCACGGCTAGCTGTGAAGCTCTTATGGGATTTTAGAATTCGTTGTACATGGATGACGACTTGCAAGGCTATTTTGTGGACTTCAGTTGTATTATATTTCGAGAATCCTGTATGGCATTTGTATGAATTTTGAAAGGGCATATAGATACTCTTATAATCTTGAAGTAAACATGTTGGACTATGGTTACATGATCTTTGGCTTCGATATTCTAGGCGAATAAGAGAAGATATATAGAGATATACTGGAAAGTATTTTATTCCAATCAAATAGGTAAAAAAATATATGTATATACGTGAAACCATGTATCTAGGTTTAGTCCTCAGGTTTATTACTATGCAGGTGAGTGTATTTTAATTATATAACTACGGGTGTGACAAAATTCATATTTTAGTTCAATATTTCATTAGAATTCAAATTTCTCATTGTTTCCAATGTGTACGACCCTCAGGAATTGAGATTCTTAAGAATTATTAAATATAATCAAATTAGCGTTATATGGAGTTCCGTAAGAATTGATTTTCATTTGAAATTTTACTACTTATGATGTACTTAATAGTGTATCCTTTTTATGGCTTTTGCAAGTTGATCTTGAGATTTGCAGTGGATTTTTATTTATAGCCTTATCAAATTGATTTTTTTATATTGTTAGATTACAAGAATGACAATTAATTTTATACTCTATTTTTGTCTATTTTCAACTAACCAAATTGTCTCAAATTTTATTTTTATAATTTTTTTAATGTAAAGAATTAAATTGAATCAAATCAGGACCGATTGGTTCAGTTCCGGTTCAGTTCTACAGTTGGATATGGTACCAGTGATTTCATTATTAGGATTTCCATTCGTATTTTGTTCGGTTCGTGTCTCTTCATTATTGGACTGACTAGACCATGCCCATTCGGAAAGGAAAGAAAGAAAGAAAGAAAGAAAGAAAGAAAGAAAGAAGAAGAAGAAGAAGAAGAAGAAGAAGAAGAAGAAGAAAGAATGGAAGAATGGAAGACAAAACACTAATTGAGTTAGGGTTCTTCAATTTCTTCCTCAATTTTTAGAGGTAAGAAAAAGATTTACTTATTGAGAAATGATCTTTGATTTTTAAGTTTATGGATAATTGCTTATATTCAAAACTTTAGAAGGGGAAAATGAATATTGAAGTTGAAAATGTAATCAAGATAAAAAATCTTGAAATTGGATTTAAAATCGATACTCATTCTTTGACTTTCTTGCGATTACATGATGTCAGCACAAAATTTAAGGAATTGAGGTTGATTTCTCCATTTTTAAGCAATTATAAGCAATTTTCGGAACCAGGTGCTATTTTTGAAATTTTTCCTAGAAAGTGCTATTTTTGCTTATGGTTTCAGTGATAGTTTTTAATATGCAGAAATCAGTGCCAGACTTCAATACTCTGGAATTTTAGTGTTGTTCTGATCAAATTTTTGTTTTCTCTGATTTTACAAGTTTGAATGAACCTAAATGATAAATATTGAAGTTTAGGTATTGGACTAATTATATACAGGGGCTATATATGGTATTGAGTTTAAGAAAGCATGAGTGATTAATGAATTTGATCATGTGGGGGGTGATTAGTTGTTAAATAATTAAAGAGAAGAAAAGTTAGAGAAACATAGATGAAGAATAAATATAGAAGCTGTGAAATTAGGTGGTGTATTTGCATTAATTTAATTGTCAGATTTTAAATTGAGCAATTATATCGTTATTTCAGGTAGTGATATGAAAGTTTTGGAAATACTCATCATTTTAATCATATTTCTATCTATAGATTTTTTAGTAGAAAAACTTAAATATTTTCAAGTATTGATAAATTAAGTATACTATTACATTATGTACACTTGTTTGAATTTTTTGTTTGATTACATAATTATTATGAAAGGTTCTTACACTATGGTATACATGAAATTCAAGGATTGTATGTGGATTATTGTGAATTGGAGTACGGGACATGTGATATTGAAATCGATAAAAAAAGTACCCATGATTATATATTACTTCTAGTTCACAAAGGGGCATTGACAGTGTTCTATTCTACACAGAGGGATCTTAACTGAGCATTGGTCTTGACTGTGCACATATAGTTCAAAGAAGGGCCTTGACCATATTCTAGAATTGATTGTTAGAGGTCTTTGAGACATGCCTTCGTTCGCAAGGGGGCCTAAGGCCCGTGACCAAAGTACTTAGCCCAAGGGATAGTCTAAGCTTGTATGACCAGATCATAGATTTCAGTTACAAGGTATATTTTTTGCAGATTTTCCAATACGTTTGATATGATGAGATGATAGTACTGATTTCAGTTGAAGATTATATCATGACTATGAGATAATCAGCATTATGAGAATGTCTCACATCTTGACTATTTTTTGTTTGATGTTATACTATGAACTGTTAAAGCAATGTAAACTCGATTTTTGATAAAAATGTATAAATGAAAAAATATAAATATTTTTTAGATTCTTACTTACTGAATTATCAACTCATATGTTTTTCTCACAATTTTCATACAGGTAGCAGTTGGTTCTTAATAGCTTGAAAAGTATGATGATTTCAGGTTTACAACCACACGACATATTGAGTTATATGATTTATTTTGTTAGAGCACGAAATAATATTTTAGGCCTACTGCATTATATTTTTTCTAAGCATCTTATTTTGGCTCATATTTAGTATTAACTCATAGTCAACCTTGTTGGTAAATCTGGCATCTAGTCCGTATCTATCATTGGCGCATGTCACGTTTCGGGTTTACTAGGGTGATTTGGGATGGGTCATATCACATTCACGTAATCATTTTTGTGTATAGAATCGTAAAAACGCAGTTGAGCCAAGATAATGGATATATTAAGAAATACGTTTAAAAATGATCGAGACATGTTTCACACGACCGAATTTAAAAAATATTCAAAATATCCCAAAATATTGATAAAGCTCAATCTTTTACCGTGAAGAAAAAGATTTAGCTGATAGAATTTTTTGTAGAACTGAATTCCAAGACCCCTACAGGCTGTAGACCACAGTGGAAGCAAGGCACTTGATTCCTTAGATTTATTAGCTCTATAAGGCCCGGAGGGAAACCCAAATGGACCCCAAGACAGGCACTTGTTCCTCAAACCTATTTGTTTCTTATAATCCCTCTCTGGGTTTGCAGTTAGGCCCCTTATGGGTGCAGCTTTGTCTTCATGCAGAGGTCATTTGATGAAGGGTGATGGGAAACAAATTATTGGATTGAAAAAACAAATTCTGGCCACACATGCTTCAGCTCTCGAAGATCTTGACATGAAGCCCATTCTTTCCATCATAGATGATATCCTTCTTCGCGCCAAATCTCTTGAAATCATGGATGTACAACGCTGATTATCTTCTTTTTGTTCAGTAGTACCCAAATTCTTGCTGCCAAACTTAGCTTTTTGGGTTTATATGCTTTATAGATTTCATCTTTAGCTGCCTTTAACTGACACTTCTACATGTTTATAATACAGGGAGATCAAGTTTCAGTACATTCAGAATCGTCCGAGGAGAAGTCCTTCCAAAGTGCTTACCATTACACGGATATGGATAAAAGGTTGGCTAATACCATAAACAAAATTACGACTGAGGTATATATAGAGAATTTCTGATTCCCTTATTCTCAATCTTGATTTTCTGAAAAGCAAATCATGCATTATATGTCAATAAGCTCTTAAATGTTATTCTTAGTATTTTCATAAATGTTACATAAAATTTAGGTAAACTTGTAATAGAGGCCATGTATAGTGATGGAAACTTGGAAGTTGGGAAGTACATAAGCCCCTAAAACTAGACAATGTATATCAACTGTCAACTCAAAGTTATGAATGTCTAATGCAACAGATAATTTGCAAATGTTCCGCTGGAGGAGAAGCACATTCTGTAACCATTGCACTCCTTGAGACACTGTCAAACTACGGGTGGGATGCCAAGGCGGTCATTACGTTTGCAGCTTTTTCTATCAGCTATGGTGAATTTTGGTTGGTCAAGAACCTTCGCGCGAAAAATCAGCTTGCCAAGGATATTGCAGCTCTGAAGTATATACCAGAAACAATGGAGCACAAAGAAGAAATGAAAAAGAAGTTTCAAGCTGTTGTCAATCCTTCAAGTGCTGTACTGACCGTGATTCACATCATTATAAAGTTCAAGGAGCTCTCCACTAAATACGTTAACCGGGATTCACCAGAAATGGTAACTGCGACTGCTCACATTCCGATGACTGTTTATTGGATAATAAGGAGCATTTTGGCCTGTGCGCCAATACTCGTGAACCTTGATGCCAGTGGTCATGAGTATGTTTCTAATTGTGCCCAAGTAAATGAAGACAAGAACGGTGAATTCTAGATGTATTGACAATTGAATTATTTTGTTTGGGAACAGGTTCATTACCTCAAGTACTGAGTCCTTGGAGATATCAAGTCTAGCTAAAAAGCTCTCCCACATATCTCAGCCCCTGCAGGATCAACTGAAGAAATTGAATGATTCTATTGGTAAGTCACCAAAAAATTAGATTCATTTGAAATCATTGGTATGCCTAAACTAAAAGATAAAGTAGTCCTACAAACACTTAGTATGTCCACCTTCTCAGTATCGCAGGAACACCTCAGAAAATTGGAAAATTATTCCCCGAAGAGACCTTCTTACTACTTTTACAGGGTGGGGGTTAAGAGAGACGAGAAATAGGAACATGGCAGAGAATAACCGCACAACTTGTACATCTTTTCTTGAATTATTGTTACTCATACTATTACTTAAATGATTGTACTGTTATACAGATGGACAGAAGGAAGAAAAGTATATTATTGAATATTTGACGATTGCTAGTACATCTGAAGACAAGGAGGAAGAAAAGCATTTTGAATTTCATATCGACAAGGACAACATGAAGATATTGAAGATGATTATTTGTGCCGGAGAAAAGCAAATGCCAATCTTTGATGGGACTAGACGGATAAATGTTGTCTCCTTGTCCCAAGTATATGAATTTCTTGATCCCTTCCAATTATGCCTAAATGTGACCATGTCTTTTATGTTTTCCTGATGACAGGATCGTCTCGAGATATTGAGAATGAAGTATGTCCTGCTACTAGTTTCCGATCTTGACCTTCCCCATGAAGAGCTTAACATTCTCAGTCTAATTTACAACCAACAGTCGATGAGGTACGAGTACAAAGTTCTTTGGTTACCCATTGTTGACCATGCAACGTCAATGAGCCCAACACAGGAGAGACAATTTCTCGATCTTCGTAGCTCTATGCCGTGGTATTCTGTGGATCATCCTTCCTTGGTTAATCCGAGAGCCATTACGTATGCCCGGGAGAGTTGGAATTTCAACCACATGCCCATTCTTGTTGTCTTGGATCCGCAAGGAATAGTGATGAACGTCAATGCTTTACCCATTATGTGGATTTGGGGAAGCGTTGCCTTCCCTTTCACTAAAGAAAGGGAATTGGGACTATGGAGAGGGAGTGCCTGGGATATCGAGTTACTAGTAGACTCCATTGATCCACGTATCCAGGAATGGGTATGTACACCATCTTGCACCCTAAATTATTATCCTCCTTGCTACAAGCATCAATCACTGACCATAATGCTATCGTTATAACCATTAAAAGATATGTCCATGAATATCAGGATTGGTAGTTAGTTTTCATAGACCTGTGCAACATAAAAAAAAAAAATGTCATGGCTTCTATTACTTCTGATATAGTTTAATGGTTCGTAATAGATAGTAAGCATCGTATTTGTAACACAATGCTCATATAATAATTTTTTTTCTTTTTCCTCACAGATAAAGGATGGCAAAACTATATGCTTGTATGGTGGAGAGGACATTGACTGGATTTGGAGATTCACAACTACTGTGCAAAACATTGCAAACACATTGCGAGTCCCCTTGGAAATTATTTATGTGGGAAAAAGCAATCCGAATGACAAAGTAAAAAGATGCCATGAAATCATTGACAGGGAGAAACTTAGCCACATTTTTCCATTGAAGGACTATTATGATTATGTTTGGTACTTCTGGGTGAGGCTGGCGAGCATGTGGAACTCCAAAATTCAACATGGCATGACCGTTGAGACTGATAAAATAATGCAGGAAATCTTTACAATGCTAATGTACGACCGCAGTGAACAAGGATGGGCTGTTTTCAGTAGGGGCATTTTTGACATGACTAAAGGAAAAGGTGACATTTTGCTTACAGTTCTCGACAACTTTAGACAATGGCAAGAAAAAGTGGATCACCCCGATAAGTTTGTGCCTGTACTGGACGCGGAGATCAGTGGTGTCCACCTCGAACACCACTGCATTCATCTCATTCTGCCGGGGCAAACTGGATACATTCCAGAGAGGGTGGTTTGCTCCGAATGTGGACGTACCATGGACAAGTATGTCATGTACCGCTGCTGCACCGACTAATCTGCGCTACTATTATTACTACTATTATTAAGGCTTTTGCTGCCATTATATATTTCAAAATAAACTTTTATCTTCTATATTTTCATGGCTTTTCCTTCTCAACCTAGATGATATGTTGCTTGTAAGAGAAAGTGAATAAAAGTGTGGAACTCTTTATGAAAGAATTTGAAATTAAGCTTGGGAATTCAAGCATATATCTGAGTTTGGTAATTAATATGGATCGATTCAAATCTGTCTTGAATTTGAAACAACGTTCTTATGTGAACAATGCAGATGAAAGATTTAAATGGAGTTGTCCAAACCTTTATAAAACTTTTTTATAAAAATTATTTTTTATGAGTTTAAAACTCTTTAAGCTCCTAGGTAAAGACTCAATTTAATAAAATTAATGCTAATATAACTCTTTCAATTAGTTTTTCATTGAGAAGGGAGCTTACAAGAAGTGGAAAATCACTTTTTATTTCACATCTCCTCAAATTCGAATTTACTCTTATTTTCACTCAAAAATACTTTTTATGTTAAGCTAAGCTTAAAGGAGTATTAAGGGTGTGAAGGGAAAAGGTTTAGACATTTTTTTTCCTTTATATTTATAGAAATCAAGGTATGTAAAGGTCCAAGTAGTTATTTCGTTTTCAAGTTATGATTTTTCGATAAAAGTTTGAACGAATTGGTACCTTCGCATACGGCGTTTCAACACTACTATAGTTTGAATGGTTATTCTCCATCTTTACGTGTTATGATAATTCAATAAAAATTGAATTTTTGTCAAAAATCCATTTACGTGCGATGGTATGAATTGATAGTTCGAATTTTCTAATTTAATAATGAAATGCACCGATAATATATATTGAGTTTCAAACTCATGGGTTAATTCCTTCCTGTAGGTTGATTTGATTTTCTTGGGCTTGGATGATGGTACATGAAGATGCAAAGTGCTATGGAGAAGTCGGTGACTTAATATTTTTATTCGATTATGAAATGTTTACATGTTTTTCTTTAAATAACTAGAATTCTATGAACATCATTTGTGACACTATTCTAAGAAGATTTTTATGAATTAATTATGTTCAAAAGTAATTATATTTTGTAGAAATTAATGTACAAGTTACCGTTCGTGTAAAAAAATGTAAGCGATAAAATTTAGTGCTGTTGTTTTTAAAATTCTAGCGTTTGTCATTGACTTCAAAAAATCATAATTCAATCACTACTTGGAATTTTTGAACAAAACTCGTAGGGTTTGATAGCCTAATGGGTTAGCTACCGAACTTGACATCTTGTCAATCAGACAGCTGTAGAATTTTATGTCATTTTAAGTAAACTGCGCTAGTTTATCTTCCAAACCTAGTTGTCATAGGTTTTCAAAAATATTTTAGTGCCTCATATGTTGTCAAAAGAAGTCGATTTTTGGATATGTCATCTTATAAGAAGTATCCTACCTTTTCTTAAAATTTCGTGAAGTTTCGAGATTGATAACTATGTAAATGAATTTATTTTCACACTTGCCATGCGAAATAAAAAAGAAAATAACTTAATTTTATTTATAGTTTAAATACGTGCATACATGGAAAATTTATTTTGAAACCTTTTATTTATTTGGTAAACACAAGCATGCTATTATCCATATAAATTAGGTAATAAGCATGGAGAAAAATAAATTGTTTAAACAAAAAAAGCATAATTCTTAAGTAAATTCTTAAATTAAATCTTTATGTTTTTTTACCAAAATGTATAGTTAATTACTAAATCTATGGATAAGGTACAAGTATTTTAGTGATGTTTCTATCCATCCAGGTTGGAACGTTACAGTATGGTATCAGAACACTAGTTTAGTTGGTTCTATAGAATCAACGTTTTTTGTTTTAAATAGGTAATTTAAAATGAGAAAATGAAGAATTAAGGCACTCTATGGCATCTCGCATCCATGAGTCTATCTCATCCTACAATCCTGGTATGTTTAACTAAGGAAAGTTAACAATTCTAATTATGAAAACTGCAATGATTCTATAGTTATTTTTTTCATGTTATAGTACATTCTAAATTTTCTTTATGTATATTTTATATGCGAAGATAAATGTAAATTGAAAAAAAAAGAGTGGTATAAAGGATATGTATTTGATTAGAAATTAAGGTTGTGAGTGACAGATTGCTAGGGAAAGATAAAATTCTAAGAGAATGAATCATGTTAGTCAACAAGAGAATGATATTCGAGCTTATATAGATTTTGAGGTAGACGAATCCTTAGACCTTAACAATCACTTATGAAGGGTGTACAAACATTAGCTAAAAGCAAAGAATGTAAATTACAGGATTTGATCGACAGACAATAGGTCATCTGCTAGAAACTTTTACACCTCATGATAAACGTATCAGAAAGCTTGTATAAGAAAAAATATGCTATCTCAAATTTCGGAAAGTGAACCTAAGGAACTTGACTTTGAGGATTTTTTACCATGCCTATATCCATAATTGGGAAACTATGATTGGTGGTGTTATCTTCCACCCGAGATTCAATTCGACAATAAGTTTAGATAATGAAATTGCACAACCAATTATGGCAATGCTAATGAGGATGAAGAAGAAGATCCGATGAGGACCTAAAAGAAGACCAAGAGTGAAACGAGTAGAGATTATGGAGATTACTTGTTTATTTGAAAAAAAAAATAATGAAAGATATTATTTCTTATTTCAAGAAAAAATGTCTCGAGCAAACCAAAACAACTTGATAAGGGACCTGCTACAAGCGGTTCAAGATCTTAATAGCTTGAATCAGAAGCAAGCTTTGCCCATAACATCAGCTCCTATTACTCTCATGATTCATGCCTTGATAGTTGAGTTATTTCGAAGGCATAAAAACCTACCTTCGATAGAACATCTAGTCCATTAGTAGCTAAGGAATGGCTTCGCATGTTAGAAAGCATTTTTCGATTCATAGCCTGCGCTAATGTTGAAAAAGTCTAGTGTGTAGAGTTTATATTTACCAGTGATACAAGTCACTAGTGGTATTTAATGTGCCGAAGTAGGACTTAAAAACAACAGTTGACGTTAACTTGGGAACAATACAAGGATGAAGTGATGGACAAGTATTTTTCTCAATCTCTAAGAGACTACAAGGAGAGCGAATTTCTTCAACTTAAGCATAAAAATGTGTCCCTGACTGATTACGAGCAAAAGTTCGACCAACTCTCAAGGCGTGCTTTACCTTGGTTGATGCTAAAATTACGATGACTCGAAGGTTAGAACAAGGGTTAAATCCAAGCCTAAGCATGATTCTAATGTCACATTGTTTCACATCATACCGTGAGATGCTCGAATGAGATCACACTATTTGGTATCAGAAAGCTAATGCAGAGTAACACAGTTAATTGTATAGCCAATAGGATAAAGGACAAATTAGAAAGAAAAAGTGGAATAGTTAGGACAAGGGAAAAGACAAATGGTAAAATAAGAAAGCTAATGTTGGATCTAGTGCTGCAACAGCACCGTGCCCTAAGTGTGGTAAATCTCATCATGGTAAATGCTTGTATGGGAAGAATACATGTTTTCGGTATGGTAAGCGAGGACATGTTTCTAAGGACCGTTCCATATTTACTCAGAAAAAAGATAATAATAGTGATCAAAGCAAAAAGGGGAAACACGAGTTTTTACACTGTCTTGGAAGGGTGCAGAGGAGAACCCAAATGTAATAGCAGGTATTTGCTGATATTTGATACACGTAATTATGTACTGTTTGATACAATAACTACTTATTCTTTGGTATCAACATCTTTAATTGCTAAATCTAATATTACTTATATTAAGTCAAAGAGTACACTAGAAGTTAGCGTTCCTTCAAGCAGGACATTGAATACTGATCAGTTAGCTAGGTCAGTGAATCTTTAACTTAAGGGAAAACATTAGAAGCAAATTTGAATCTGATAGAGATGAGAAACTTTGATGTGATTTTGGGCATGGATTGGTAGTGATGTAATTATGCAACCATTCATCGTAGAGAAAGAGAAATGTCTTTTTAGAAACCAAGAGAAAAGCAATTTTCTTTCCTCAAAAAAAGATCAAAACCCATCTCCAACTAGTATCGATCTTGCAAGTTGAGAAAATATTGAGAAAAGAAATATAGCAAGGGTTTCTAGTTAACATCTCATGAGAAAACATATCAAGAATTTATAGATGTGCTTCTAGAAGATCTACCTAGTACTCTGTCAGATAGACAATTAGAATTCACAATAAATCTAAAGCTCTATACAGTATGGCCCCAAAGGAACTTCAAGAGTTGAAAATTCAGTTATAAAAAATTTTAGAGAGTGGCTTTATTCGACCAAGTATATCTCCATGGGGCGCACCAGTGTTGTTAGTAAAGAATCAAGAATAAGTATCATCTCCTGAGAGTCAAAGACTTATTTAACCAATTAAAAGGGGCTAAAGTATTTTCCAAGATCGACTTATGAACTGCATATCATCAATTGAAGGTCAAGGCAAGTGATATACCTAAGATGGCTTTCAGAACTCGTTATGGACATTATAAGTTCACTGTTATGCCATTCGATTTGACTAATGCTCCAACGGTATTTATGGATTTAATGAATCATGCGTTTCATCAATATTTGAATCAATTTGACATAGTCTTCATTGATAACATTTTCATATACTTCAAGAGTAAAGATCAATATAAGGAACATCTTAGAATAACGTTAGATATATTGCGTAAGGAAAAATTATATGTCAAATTTAAAAAGTGCAAATTTTGGCTTGAGCGACTCACGGATCATGTAGCTATTGTTCAAGGAATTGTAGTAGATCCAATAAAAGTGGAAGCAGTAACAAATTGGAATACACTAACACTAGTGAATGACAAAATTGATAAGGAAATTTATCGAATGATTATCCAAAATAGTTAGATCAATGATACAATTGATAAGGAAAAGAGTAAAATTGCAAAGGATGAATAAATGTGAGCAAAGTTTTTAGGAGCTAAATCAAAGATTGATTAGAGCACCATGTTAACCATGCCCGGAGGTTCGGAAGGATTTGTTATATATAGTGATATATCCAAACAAGGTTTGGGATGTGTACTGACGTAGCACGAAAAAGTGATTGCCTATACATCAAGCCAATTGAAGCAACATGAGCATAATTACTCAGCGCATGATCCAGAACTTGCAGCATTTGTTTATGCACTAAAGATATGGCGCCATTACTT